TGCCGATAATCTTGTAAGTACAAACATGCACACCTCATGCCAATTAGCAAGTTGTTCCACGTCAATGATATGAAAAATTACCATTTTGAAAATATTTTACCCACAAGTGGTATATTGCTAATTAGTTTTTACTTCAAAAAATATATATGAATTTATAAATTTTCTTTATCAATATTATGAATACATAAACCTCAATTGCATTAACATTTAAAAAAATATAATTAAAGTAATTTCATTCTATCATTATAAAATTTAACAATAATGTATTACTTAATTAAAAAATTCACTTTTTATAATTATAATCACTAAATAATAAATTCAATGCTATTTCACTCATAATAGAATAAATTATACAGAAAAAATTATAACTAAATCATTGATATTTATTTTTACCATCTATATCTAAACTTTTAGCTAAATACATTTAAAATAAGCATCTCAAGGTAATTAATGTCGGTTAGGGAACTTACCAAACTTGAATTTTTTTACTTTAATGAGATTTACTTACAAAACAAAAAAAATACCAAAATTAATTATTCTTATATATCTACTTATTTATAATTTCATTAACTTTAAACTAACTTGAAACATACTTAATCACTTAATGTTTATAAAAAATTTTTTACCTTATTAAATTTCAACACTTGCCTCAAGAGAATAAAGAAGTTAATGAAAATTAATTTAATTACTGATATATGTATGAGAATTTTATGATAAAAGAGAATAATTAAATGATACTTGATAGATAATTAATTGATAAAAATTGAGATATGGAGGATTTTCTGTAAAAAAATGAAAAAAAAAAAAAAAAAAAAAAAAAAAAAGGGTTGACAAATGGAGGAGGTTGAGAGGATGTGCGCAAAAGAGAATGGGAGGAGCAAGGAAAGAATTGCTCTCAGCTAAGTTGGGGGTGGGGGTATAAATAAAGCCTGTAGCATCATATGCCATGTTGCTAAAAGGTTTCCTCCTAATTAGCAACATATTCCATGTTGCTAAAACTTGTTTGAATTTGAAAGTACATAAGTCATCACCAATGTGTGCCATATTGATGAAACTTCAAATTATTATTCCCGCTTAGTATTTGATTCATATACTTTAAAAAATTTATTTCTATCTCTAAAATTTAATTTCTTAGTTGATTTCTCATACTCTATTAAATATTACTTAACACTTAACACCTTAATTAATATAAGTACATAATTACTCTTTATTTAAATGATTTAAATCTCTAATATGTCTAACAAAATAATGTACATATATTTTTGAGTTTACAGAAATATTTCACATAAAAATATAAAATGTTTTTACTTAAGAATTGACTATTAAAAGTGAGAGTTGAATCTTTCTCATTAAGAGTCGACTATGCCCTTCATGCAGAATTTCGAATTTATAAAAGTAATTACTTTTAAATACAAACATAAATATAATCATGTGAGGGATGAAAGAAACAAATTAAATTGAGAGAATAAGGAACAAATAGCACAAAAATAGAAGGTGTGAAAAGTGTATATATAATGGCCAGAGAAAGGGGTGTATATAATGGCTACCAGCGACAGTCGATCAAAATGGTTATATCACCAACATATTTTTTGTTGCTGATTTTTGGTTGCTAAAAATAAAGGAATAATAGCAACGTGGATTTTGTTAGTGATGTACAACATCAACAACATTGTATATGTTGCTAATGCTTCAAGTGGATGGAAATTACAGCAACATGTCCCTTGTTGCTGAAATTCACTTTTAGCAACATATCCCATGTTACTAAAAGTGGGGCTTATTTTTAGGTAGAAATCTGCATTGTACAATGATTGGCAAATTACAGCAACATGTTTCTTGTTGTTGAAATTCACTTTCAGTAATAAGAGTGAATTTCAGCAACAATGGTGAATTTCAGCAATAAGGGATATGTTATTGAAAGTAAAGCTTACTTTTAGGTGGAAATAGCTTTTAACAATATAGTCCTTGTCAGTGAAAATCTGTATCACCGACAAAGTCACTCATGTTGCTAATAATTTGTTGCTGGAAGTAAAAATTTTAGTAATGTTGGTAGATATATGGTTAATTACATCGTCTGCTATTATAATATGACAAATTAAAGCTCTGAATGGATATTGATTAGGGTGTAACTAGTATAAGATATACTTGTATAAAATTATTGTTGTTAAAAAATATTGCACCTCAATTATTTTGCTAGCTTAACTAGTTAAACTACAGTTTTGGGCAAGCAAAGGGGCTTTGATTAACACTACACTTAAATTTGTAAGGTAACTTAAACTGTGACATTTTAATTTTAATTTAATTATTAAAATAGTTAATAATTAATAAAATAATAAATATTTACTATTTAATATATTAAAATTAATTT